ATACAATGTGGTTGATTATTGTGGCCAATTACCAAAACCTCCCTCCCTCTTCCATCTCCCTCCTCCCTCCCAACAATGTCCTTTCTGCTTGCTTGTCATATCAACTTCAAGGAATTGTAATTGTTATCTCTTCTTCCCTCCCCCCCCAGTTGTTTGTGTATTTATTTATTTATTTTTAGCTCCCACAAATAAGTGAGAACATGTGATATTTCTCTTTCTGAGCCTGGCTTGTTTCACTTAATATAATTCTCTCTAGGTCATTGCAAATGGCAGTATTTCATTCTTTTTTATAGCAGAGTAGTATTCCATAGTGTGGATATACCACATTTTCTGTATCCACTCATTTGATGATGGGCATTTGGGCTGGTTCCAACTCTTAGCTATTGTAAATAGTTTTGCAACAAACATTGGGGAACAGGTATACCTTTGACTTGATGATTTCCACTCCTCTTGGTATATTCCCAGCAGTGGGATAGCTGGGCCATATGGTAGATCTATCTGCAATTGTTTGAGGAGTCCATAATTTACATTAGGGTTCACTCTTGGTGTTCTATATTCTATATTTTTGGACAAATGTATAATGTTCTAGACCTACCACTAGTATCATACAGAATAGTTTCAGTGCCCTAAAAATCCTCTATGCTCTACCTATTCATTCTTCCTTCCTCCCAACCTCCAGCAACCACTGATCTTTTTACTGTCTCCCTAGTTTTGCCTTTTCCAGGATGTCGTATAGTTGGAATCATACAGTATGTAACCTCTTCAGATTGGCTTTTTTTCACTTAGTAATATACATTTAAGGTTCCTCCATGTCTTTTCATGGCTTGAAAGCTCATGTCTTTTTAGCACTGAATAATATTCCATTGTCTGAATACACCATGTTTAAACCATGTATTTTTGTGTCTGCCATTACAGGTACCAAAACATCAGTAAAATTATATATTCTATATCTCATCCTCCCCATTATTTTGATCGTCGTGGGATCCATTTGGTTTTTGAAAATCAGTGGCTACAGGTATTAATTGATGAATGTTTTTTCTTCAGTTTTGTTGGGCTAGAAAAGAGGCAGAAATATGGAATTGACCGACTGGGTAAAATAGGATGTTAACATTAATTATCCTGTAATCAAGAAGAGTATCTTGAAGGTGTTAGAGTTGGACTACTTTGAGAGATGACAGGGATTTTGCTAGGTTACTTAGTTATACAAGCATGGTGAGTTAGAGAATTTAGGGCAAGATCTTGGGTGAAACAGTGCATGCTAAATTTTTTATTTGGGAAAATAATTACAACAATTCCTTTCATGTACCAAAGAGGAGTCATTACATATATTTTATTGCATCAAGGCCCTATTGCATGATTTCACTCCTTTTTCCAAAATCCAGAATTTTCTTATTTAGTTTTATTGACCACAAACCATATTCCTCACTCATTTTTGGTGGCTCATTCCTGATTTATTACAGCTTCTATCAAAATGAACCACAATTGTCAATAGTATAATGGTATGTATTTTTTTCCTTTTTCAATCTAAACAATGATGCTTCCTACATTCACTCCAGCTTATTTTACTTTTATAGGAAATGTGAATTGAAAAAAACAGAAGCTCCTCCAGTTGTTGAGGAGGTAAGATAAAATAAAAAAATAATATTTAAAAACTTTTAAGCTACGTAGTCTGAAAATCCAGCACATAATTTGTAATTTGTATTAATATTAGTGTTTTAGTTGAAAAACTAAAAAAAATTCTGATTTTACAGTGCTAATAGTCATGTGTACTTATTTTTTAAATTATTTACCAAGTACTATTTGTACACCACCACAGATCCACATTTTCGTTTTATGAACTGCATCCTAATACATGTTTCCCTTATATGGACTGTAATCTTTGGAGAAATTGAATTGGTGTTTCTTCTCTCATGAAGCCATCTCTAATTCTTGACTTCTTTTTCAATACCATCATCATTTCCCTCTTACCCAAGTTTAAAACCTATTCTGCTCCATAATCTCATATAACTAGTAGCTTACTAGGTTTTCAGCTCTCTTCTTTGAAGTGCTTCTCATATCACTTCATTCTTCCCCATTCATAATTCACACAACCATCCTCTCGCACAGCGAATATTTTTGATAAAATATTAGAACAAAGACTTGCTCTTATGTTCATATAAGCCCAAAGACACAAATATAAGCACTACTGGTAGATACTAAAGCTGTGGGCACCTGTTAGAAAAATGCAAGTAGTTTCTGTTATGATTTCTGGTCTTTTTGAACTAATTTTGACTCTGAGTTCTTTCTTAGGATGAAATGCAGCCCTATGCCAGCTACACGGAGAAGAACAATCCACTCTATGATACAACAAACCGGGTGAAGATGTCTCAGGTGTTACAAAGTGAGGCTGATGGCGTGGGCCTCCATACTGTATAAGTTAATGGAATCTAGCACCAGGAAAAATGAATTAAGATACATCACAATTACCGTTTTGATTTTCTTACCATTCTAGAATGGAAGACCTATTTTGAAGTTAATTCTTCAAAGGCTCTTAAAAGATGAAGACATTCTAATGAATTAGTATTTGTATCCTTATATAACTGGAATTTTAGAACCTTAGCTGCTACCAGCTAGTTCTCTAAAGAACTGATGTAATTATTACAAAGCACATGCTCATGAAAAAAATTCAAATTGTGCAGTATAGTAAATAATGATAACCGAGTTTCCACAAGAACTAAGTCTGTGGAAGGAACAATCATCAACAGTTTCTTATGTATCCTCCTGGAAAATTTCTACGAACATATGACATGTCTGTATGTCTATGGTTTAAGTGTGCATTTATGTCTATTTACATATGTGTATAAGTATCCTTGTCAAAACACAAAGAGAAACATACTGTAATGCTGTTCTGTACTTATAAAAAGCTAATAATGCAAGTCTTGGGGATCTTTTTATATCAACACAAGCAGATCTACCTCATTCTTTAACCATAGCCCTAGTGATGGACATTTACATTGTTTTCAGTTTTATTTGTTTTCAGTTTTATTTGTGTTATAAACAGTACCACATAGAATGTTTCTTGTGGATATATCTTACTGTATCTCTTTGAGTATATATGTAGGATAATTTCCTTCAGTGGAATTGCCAGGTCAAGGGTTTGTGCAGTTTTATTTTTGATATATTTGTCAAATTGTATCAATTTACATTACCTTCAACAGTGTTTGAATGTGCCTTTCCCTATGCTCTTATTTAATGTCTGCAAGATTCCCACTTTTGCAGTTCCCACTTTCCCTTTTTAAAGAACCAGTCAGCTAATATGATGTAAGATGAAAATAAAAAATTGTAGTATTTAATAATAAAACCAGATGTATATTTTTTGTCGTGTTTGCAGGAAAGAACACACTTGTGAATGTTAGCTTCTTCTGAACTTATATCTCTGCAGAGATGTTGATACTTAATGCTTAACAATTTTGCAGATGTGATAAATTGAATTGTGTATTTTTATGGTGTACATTCTATTGTGATGTATATATCACAAATGTCTATGGACTATATAAGCAACTAAATGTGCACTATGGAGGACTTGGAGTGTCTACAAAATATGATCTATATGGTAAGAGAATGGCCGTTGGAGGATATGACCCTCCCTTCCATTTTTCTGTGGAGTATTGAATATTGGGGATGTGTATATTAATCATTCTTACTATCATAAAATTATCTTTTAATTGTGAATAATTATGAAAAATAAGCCTACTCCATAGCAACATAAATATTAAAAGTTTTTTTTTTAAATTTTAACATTTACTGGTACATATCTGTGTTGTACAGTGTGTTGCTTCAATACGTGTGTATACTGCACAATGATCCACTTAGCATAGATAGTTTTATACCTATTAGTCCACCACTTCTCCTCCTCCTGCCACCTGGCCTCTGGTAATTAGTATTCTACCGTCTATTTCTATGAGAACCACTTTTTTTTTTTTTGCATTCCACATATGAATGATGTCATGTAGTACTTGTCTTTCTGTGCCTGACTTCACTTAACATGATGATTTCCAGTTTCGTCCATGTTGCTGTAAATGATAGGATATATATATATATATTTTTAGTAGCTGAATAGTATTCCATAGTGTATAGATATCACAGTTTTTTATCCATTCCTCCATTGATGGGCATTTAGGTTTATGCCCTCTATTGGGTATTGTCAATAGTGTTGCAATGAACATGGGGGTGCAGGTGTCTTTTTGATACATCAATTTCATTTCGTTTGGGTATATACCAAGTAGTGGGATAGCTGGGTATCTATTTTTAGTTCCCTGAGGAACCTCCATACTGTTTTCCATAACGGCTGTATCAATGTAGATTCCCACCAACAATTAATAGATTTTTCATCATGATAGAAATTAAAACAAAATCCATTCATTCTTCAATTGTGCTGTCTGAGACATTTAAGACAGCTATTTTATCTTAATATATTTTCCTCCCTCCAGACATTTTAGTTACTCTAGAATTATCCTTAGAAATCCTCTAGGATTTTTAGTCTATTTTGGATACAAAACAAATATAATGATACTTGGAACATGATATTTTGATCAAACCATCTGACTCGGCCATAAAAACCAATCCATTAAGTTTCTGTATGCAAATATTACCAAGTAGTGTGCACAATAGGCATCATAACCTTTTCCTTGACCTTTATTACTTCTTAATCCACTCCTGGTTGAAATGAGGCTCATAGTTAGTTAGGTCCAAAACTATATTTTGAAATATTACTGAAAAACAAAACAAAACTGTGCTTACATCTTAATTTGATAATGTCAAAACAAGCATGTCAGATGACACCGTAGACTTTGATAGTTTATAAATGTTAAATTATATAAGGGTACTTTAAAATGTTTGTGAAAAAAATAGAATTAAAAGATAACACAAATCTGTCCATGAACTTATTGAAGATTCCTCATATTGTGTAGGAAATAATTACCTAAAAATCTCCCACTGTGGGGCTAAAACATGTTTGAACATTGGTATCACATGGGGAAATAAAAAAATAGAGAGATTTCCAAATTCACTCTAGACCTGCTGAATCATGAAAATCTAGAAATTGGATCAGGTGTGCCAGTTAGGTTCTCCAGGAAGCAGGGGCTGAGATGGAGTTAGGATTCATAAAAGCTAATTGGGGGAGGGAGGTTACACTTTTGAAAGATAAAAGGGGTAGGAAGCAGGATTGAGAAGGAAACGCCTCAGATAACAGTATTAGAACTATCCAAGTCTTTGTCAAACCAATGGGGAGCCCTGGAACTAAGACAGCTTCTGACTAAAGTCTTTCATATGAGGAAATGGTCAAACCCCAATAGCGCCTTCATGATTTGTCATTGGCTGGAGCTGTGCTGCCCAGGAAGAGCATGGCCTCAGCTCAAAAGGTAAAATAAATAACAAATTAGCAACTGGAGACCATCACTCTAACTGCACTCCTCGCAGCTGAATGGTAGGTTCTTTCTTGATAAGAAATCTGAACAGCATACACACAAGCTGTGGTATGTCATCATCTATTTTCAACTCTTCTGTGATATTTTATCTTAGGCATACTTTTATAAAGAAACTTCAGCTTTTAAATAAAGAAACTATAGCTTTTTTATAAAGAGGGTATAGCTGATTTTTATTAACTCATTTGAGAATTTTATCTTTATTAAGGGAATTTAAGCCCTAGACATTTGTTGTGATTACTTACATATTCAGTCATATTTTTACAATCTTATTTTACATCTCATTTACTGTGCCTTCTCCTACCTCCACCCCCCATTTAATTTTTTTCTTTACTCTGCTTTGCTGGATCAGTTAATTTAATTTCTTTATTTCTCTCTTTCTTTTCTTTCTTTCTTTCTTTCTTTCTTTCTTTCTTTCTTTCTTTCTTTCTTTCTTTCTTTCTTTCTTTCTTTCTTTCTCTCTTTCTTTCTTTCTTCTCTTTCTTTCTCTCTCTCTCTCTTTCTCACTCTCTCCTCTCTCAGCACCTCTACCAGTTTAAAAGTTATACATTATAATATACATCTATTTGTGGTTATGCTTTATTTATGAACATCTAAAACAGCTTTATTGTGGTATCACTGATATATTTAAAGTGTACAATATGTTAAATTTTGTGCACAAAGCATACACTTTGTTAAGCATTGACGTGGTTTTACACCTGGTAAAACCATCAGCCTAATCAAAATAATGTACTTGTCCATACTGTTAAGTTTTCTTATGCTTCTTTGTAATCCTATCCCCAAATTCTTCTTGTTGCCTCTCATACTCCACTTCCCAAGTAATCACTGATCTGCTGTCTGTAACTATCTACTAGTTTGTACTTTGCAGAATTTTACATCAATGAGATCATACAATAAGTATTCTTTTTCTGTGTATGAGGGTTTTTTCACTCAGGATAATTATTTTGAGATGTATCTGCACATCAATAGTTTATTCTTTTTATTGCTAAATGGTATTTAATTGTATGCCTATACCAGTTTGTTTATCCATTCGCCTGTTGACGGATATTTGGGTTGTTCCTAGTTTGGGGCTATTAGGAATAGAGCTGCTATAAACATTCTTGCACAAGTATTTTTGTGGACACATGCTTTTATTTTTCCTGGGTTAATATTGATGAGTGAATTGGCTGATCATATTGTAAGTATATGTTTAACTTTTAAAGAAATTGCCAAACTGTTTTTCTAAGTTTCACGCTGTTTTTAGCTTTGTAAGTCTTGATCAGGTGGTATTAGGCCTCCAACTTGATTCTTTCTTAACATAGTTTTGGCTATATTAGGTACTTGGCATTTCCATATCAATTTTAGAATCGGTTTGTCAATTTCTACAAAAAAGTCTGCTTGGAATTTGATTTAATTGTATTGAAGCATGTATCAACTTGAGAAAAATTGATATCTTAGCAACACTGAGTCTTCCAATCCATGAGCATCTCTTTCATTTAGGCCTTTAATTTTTCTCCGCAATGTTTTATTCTTTTCTGTGTGCAGTTCAAATGCATCTTTTGTCAGATTTATTCCTAAATACTGTATTTCATACTTTTTGATATTATTGTATATGGAATTGTGTTTAAATTTTAATTTCTAATTTTTCCTTGATATTGTATAAAAATACAAACGAATTTTGCAAACTTAAATCTTGCAACCTTGCTCATTGATTGATTCTAAGAGATTTTTGAAGACTCAGATTTTCTGCACAGGTGATCATGACATCCATGAATGAAGACGGTTTTATGTTTTTCCTTTCTAATCTGGATAACTTTCATTTGTTTTACTTACCTATTGTACTGGCTACAACCTCTAGTATAAGGTTGATTAGAAATAGTGAATCCTTGTCTTACTCCTGGTCTTAGGGAGAAAGCATTGAAACTTTCACTGTTAAAAATGATGTTAGCTGGGATTTTTTTTTTTGTAGATGCCATTTATTGGGCCGCTGAGGATTTGTTTCTTCTATTCCTAGGTTTCTGACGCTTTTTAACAAAAATGGTTGTTAGACTCCGTCAAAGCTTTTTCTGTATCTATTAAGATGATAAAAAATTTTGTCTTTTTTATTTTTTTTAATATGGCGACTTTTAATGTTCTCTGTTTCTGTGTTTCTTTTGGAATAGTTTCTGATATTACCAAGTTCAGCATTTTTTTTCTTCTGCAAATGTGTAATCTGATGTTAATTCCATTCAGTGTATTTTCCACCTCACACACTGTAGTTTCCATCATTAGAAATTAGATTTGGGCCTCATGTCTTCATGTCATAACTTTTGGAACATGTGGACTATAATTATAATTATTGTTTAATGCCTTTGTCTGCTAAGTCTTGCATCTGTGTTGGTTATGGGTTGGTTTGGAGGATAGGTTTTTACCTTGTTATGAATTGTATTTTCTGGTTTCTTCGACTGTCTGGTAATTATAATTTTTTATTGTCATAAATATACATTATATAAAATTGAT